AGAGGGGAGGAGTGTGCTGTCGCAGAATGGGGGTGAGCGGTTGGGGTCTCATAACAATGTATGCTAAAAAAAAAAATTCTGTATGGGAGACTAACTTGAAATGTAAACCTCATTTAATTACAACGATAAAAAAAAAGCCAACTTTTAGGTCCTCTTTTCATGTTATATCATGAAATCATGATTAAAAAAAACTTTTCTGACAAGCAGTGCTGCTGTTGGGTTGGCTTCCAAAAAGTGCCTTTACTCTGCTAGTATTTTGGTACAAGCATTAGAAAATGCTGCTAGAAATAGTGGTCTTCCCTTTGCTTTGAAAGGGTGAAGGACCAAACCATATTTAAAATATACACAATAAAAATGATTGACGATCAAGCAGAGTAGTCACAATCACATGGGTTTTCAGATATAATGACAATATATAATGACGATACATTTAACTTAATGAATACTTGGAGCCCTGGTGGCCCAGTGGTTAAGAACTTGACTGCTAACCAAAAGGTCGGCAGCTTGAATCCAACTGCTTCTTGGAAAGCTTATGGGGCAGTTCTACTCTGTCCTATAGGGTGGCTATGAGTCAGAATTGACTGGATGCAATGGTTTTTTTTTTTTTGTAATGAATTCTTATTGGTTACCAATCCCTTTCTAAATGCTATGGGGAATACAAAATTGAATCAGACATAGCCCATGCTTAAATATCATCTGCTTGGAGAGACCTTCCCTGACTCCATAATCTAAAAAAAGCCCCTAACTCCACCCCAGTTTTCTGTAGCCCTCCTTTATTTTTTCTTCAAAGGTCCCATTACTACTTGAAATTATCATCTATATCCCTTTATCTATTTATTGTTACATCCATCACCTTATTGTAAGATACATGAGGGCAAAGCCTTTAGCTCTCTGGTTCACTACTCAATTTCCAATACCTAGATCAGGGCCAGGCTCATAATACGGACACAATGAACTTTTGTTGAATGAATGAATGGATGAGCTTACAATGTAGGCAAAAAGCAATAAGGACCATAAGATGTAATAGACACATACACACACGTCTGAACTTACTCCCTTTGGACTTTGGGACACTATTTTCCAAATTCTGAAGGGCTAAATAATTGTCTTGCAAATGTAGAAGCTTAACTTCTATGTAATGCTATGTAGATCTTCTATACTAATCTAGTAAGACAGGTGGTTAAATAGTATTACTTATTTTATAAACGTGGAAAATGAGCCTTAGAAAGACCTGCTGCAGAATCACAGCTAATGGCACAGTGCCAATCAACTCTGCTGATTCCTAATTAAGCACTTTCTCTTCATGTGATATGAAAGAAAACCACCTTGTATGGATTACTTCCACAGAGCAGACCATAATATATTTGTTATATTTGATCCTTCACTATTACGTTTTTACTTAGCTACTGAATCTCCATTTGTTCCCACTCAATAATGTATGCTTATATTTCCTGCCTTCAGTTACTTACCTACTCACACACACCTCAGCTGAAATGGAAATTCAATGTATGGTTTTAAAGTTTGGCTAACAGTCAGTTGGAGGGACTGCCAACGTGGCATCTTAGGGAATCAAAGAAGTTTTGTGAAGAGCCTTTGCTTAAACAAAGAGTGCATTGACAGACCGAAATTAAAATTTTCCTTATTAATTAATAAAACGGTTTTTCAGAAGCATTAATTTTTGCATAAATTATTAGTAAACTAAGTACAGATAATTCTCCTTTGCTCAAGGATTCTTTAAGAATATGACTTAACCACTCTGCATCAGCCTTGTGTTTATACTTGGGACCTGGGTTACTCCATTGCCAATTCTTTGCTAGGCTTCCACCATGTAGAGGTGATGTGGTAACAAGAACACAATACAATCGACTTGTTACAACTTTGTCCTCAGTTAAACTTAAAATCTAACCCACTAAGCTAACCAGCTTTTATACGAATTCTAAGTTCAGAAGTACCTCCTTTTTCATTCTTTCTGGCCACTGATATGGGCTGCTCATTTTCAGATTTTCAATGCTGGTACCTGATGTGGTTTTCTGCTCATCTCTCCCAGGGCCTCCAGATGTAGATCAGCCCTGCGAGCCGAGCTTGCAAGCCTGGAGTCCCGAGCTCCACCTGTACCATATGAACATGACGGTCCCCTGCCCTCCGGAAGGCTGTAGCCTGGAGCTGCTCTTCCAGCATCCGGTCCATGCCGACACCCTCACCCTATGGGTCACCTACCTCTCCATGGACTCCTCCCAGGCACTCTTTGACACGGAGATCTTGCTGGAACACCAGGAGTCTGTGCACCTGGGCCCCTTAAATACTTTCTGTGACACCCCACTCACTATCAAACTTCATGTTGATGGGAAGGTTTTGGGGGTGAAAGTCTACACCTTTGATGAGCGGATGGAGATTGATGCAGCCCTCCTGACTTCTCAGCCCCACAGTCCTTTGTGCTCTGGCTGCAGGCCTGTGAGGTACCAGGTTCTCCGCGAGCCCCCATTTGCCACTGGCTTGCCCAAGGTGGTGACACACCCTCGCAGGAAGTTCACAGACGTGTGAGTTGGGCAGTAGGGCCTTCTAAATCACGGGATTTTCTGGGGCTTTTGGGGTGGGTTTTATGTCCTCTCCCCCCACTTTTTCACGTTCTGACCTGTTCTCAGTTGGAGAAGTGTTCTGAATTGCAGAAGGGATTTTATTCTAAAGTGGCATATTTAAGATGAAGAAAAACATTTCCCGGGTGTTCTGACTGCTGATGCCATCATTAGTCTTTGAGTTGCTTCAGTCAGACTGAATGTGACTGCCACAAGTCACTCAATCCGAATCAGGTGCTCCAGTTGGTGACACAATTTAATTCCTGATTCCTTGCTACACTTTCTGGTAATCTGCCACCATTTCTATAATATTCAAAGGCTACAGTCAGCTCTTCCTTAGCTAAGCAAAGAGGCCAAGGACCCTGCTGACACGGTACTTAGTTCAAGACCCATTTGACATGTGCATTTCATTCTTTTTCCTTTTACTTGTTCCTCCTTCCCTCTCTCTGCTTTCCTTTTCTTCCAGCGCTCCCTTTCCTTCTACTTCTGATCCTTCTACAAGCACTTAGTTCTACTGTGTTCCTGGCACTGCGTGCTCAGTGCCGGGAACACAGACTTAGATAAGGTTTTTGCCTTCAGAGATTTCAATGTCTAGAGCAGGAGGCTGGTGGCTCCAAAGGTAAGCTCTTCCCACCTCCTAATTTTCTTCAGAGTCTGCCCTGAGGTCAGAATTAGGGATCAAACAAAGGTTTTATCAGATATACTATATCAGTTTTTACTGCGTTAGAAACCATCATAAACATAGTGGCTTAAAACAACAAACATATTATTTCTCATGATTCTATGTTTGGCTGGGTATTCTTGTCTGAACTGGCTTGGCCAGGGCTGAGACAGCCCAGGATGGCCTCATGCACAAGCCAGAGACCTCAGCTGAGATGGCTGGCAGGGCTGGAAGATGGGCCCTCTTTCTATATGGTCTCTTACCTAGGCTTTTTCTCATGGTGGCAGAAGAGTTTCCGGCAGCAGGGGAGGACAAGCCCAAAAATGCTTGCACTTTTAAGTTTTTGTTTACGTTACTTGCGATAGTTTTCCCCTAGCAAGTCATATAGCCAATTCCCAATTCAACCAAAAACCAAACCTGTTGCCATCAAGTCGATTCTGACTCACAGCAACCCTATAGGACAGAGTAGAACTGCCCCATAGGGTTTTCAAGACTATAATCTTATGGAAGCAGACTGCCACATCTTTCTCCCATGGAGCAGCTGGTGGATTCAAAACTCTAACCTTTCAGTTAGCAGCCTAGCCCTTAACCATTGCACCACCAAAGCTCCTCTCTCCTGACTCAAGGGGTAGCAAAATATACTTTACCTTTTCATGGGAAGAGCGGCAAAGTCACATCGCAGGAGAGTGTGCATTTGGGATGGGGAGAATTTGTGGCTACTTTGTAGTTTACATCAGCTATAAAAAAGGAGACAAAAATGTCCACCTTGAGTGTCACTACATTTTTCTTCCCATATATGCTCTCTCAATTAGAACTAAAAGACAGTGGAATGGTCAAAAACTAATTCAGATGGGAGAACAGATCAAGGGATGAATTTAAAAAGGAAAAAAATAAAGTCATTTTTGAGCTTTTCTGATAAGAGTAACTGGATGGTACAAACGGTTAAGACTGGTGGTTTGAATCTACCCAGCGGCATCTTGGAAGAAAGCCCTGGTGACCTACTTCCAAAAAACCACAGCTATTGAAAACCCTATGGAGGGCAGTTCTACTCTGACACATGTGGGGTCACCATGAGTCAGAATCGACTTGATGGCAACTGGTGTTTTGGATATCTAATCGGATAGCCAAAAAAAAAAAAAAAAAAAAAAAAAAACCTTTGCAGTCAATAATATCCCATTTTATAGGTGAGAAAACTAAGAATTAAGTTTAAGTTGCTTGAACAGCTAGTCAGCGGAGGACTCAGGTTTGAAATCCAGTTTCCTGGCTGACTCATTGTGGTCCTCTTTCCTTAGTTATGCACTGCCTTTTACAAACTCAGATCAACAATATGAGATCATGGAAGTCTTCGGCTACCTGCTGCTGAGTTTTTTCCCTGAGAAGAGTAAGCACATGCTGACATTTCCATCTGAGCATTTTCCCCACCACAAAGTAGTGTAAGACTTATGCATGGCTAGACAAGAGTCTGGCAAAAACCGCCCTGTAAAGGGAAGGCACCAGTGTTGAGTAGGATATAAAATTGGTCTTGTTTTTAGAAATTGCTGGCATTTTCATGAGAGGATTGGTTTTCTGAGAAGGAAAGAAAATTTGGAAATTAAGAAGTCTTTAATATTTAGATGTCTTTTCTATTAAAGTACCTAAAAGCCAGTGTAGAGGTTGCTAAAGGTGTTTTTGAAATGTCAAGACATTTCCTGCTTGCAAGTTGCAAGCATCGAGTGAGGGAGTGGAGGCTTTGTGGCTGAGTTGAAGGGCCTGTTAAGAAGAGAGAGGCTTGGCAGGAGACTTATGGCAGCCATTCATGGCAGCCCCAACAACCCTCGGAGATCCTCATCCTCCTAAGTTCCTAAGTAAGTCCCACCCTAGCTTGACTTTGGTGGTGGTTTTTCAATCAGGGCAGACATTGGACAAAATTAAGATGAGGGCAGAATTGGTCTTTGAAACCAGCAGCCCCCCTTCTTGATCCCTTTCTCCCTTCTAAATTTTCTCTCATACTCTCCACCTGGGTTCTAGAGAGACTCTGATAAACCACTTCCATCTCTGGTATCAAGTGATACAAGACTCCATTCCTGGTATGTATACATTTTGACAGATTTGGAGTGGAAAGGAATTAAATGCATTTCTTTTAAAAAATATGTATATAGTTCATAAAGATATAATTCAGAATTCACATACCATATAATTCACCCGTTTAAAGTGTGTAATTTAATGGCTTTATTACAGTTCTAATTGTGGAATATCCAGCATCCCAAAAATGGTAATGGAAGGTGTCGTTACCCCCTTCTATGAGAGAGTTACTATTACTAAGGATTCGGTCTCTGAAAGCCAATAATTCTCTTGAGAAACAAAAAAACCAACTGTGATCCACTGACCCAAGAAGAGCATCACTGAGCCCAAACCCTGAAACTTTCATCTCAAGTTTATTTGATTACTTCTAAGATACAGAAGACTAGTTTATATATATGTATGTATATGTGTGTGTATATAACATACATATATATATATTTAACATGATAAAGATACACTTGGGATACCATCCTAATATACTGTCTAGAATTCTTAATTCAGTGTTAATTCAGCAAGCATTTATTAGACTTCTACTATGTGACATGTACTGGGAATACAGAAATTAAGATGATTTCAAACATTCTGTTGCTTTGTAAGACTACGTATCTTTATCTTTTGTTTCAGACAATGTAATAAATATTTCATGTTTATGCTACCCATAATATTTCCCTTAAACTCCTGCAAACCATATTCTACTTTATGAATGTGATAGTCATAAGCTCATTGGTTTCCACAGGGAGGTCACACCTGGACAGACGTATCAGTACCAGGTTCAGGCTGAAGCTGGAGCAGAACTGGGAGAAGCTTCACCTCCTTTGATCCATATCCATGGAGCTCCTTACTGTGGAGATGGGCAGGTGGCAGAGTGAGTAGTTTGTGCATGAGAATGTGCAAACTAGGACATTGTCCTGCTCTGGCTAGAAGGTCCAACCTCAAGCTCGAGTTTGGCTTGTTGGGAAATGTAGGGGGCAGGGTACTGTGTGATTCCCGTGTTAATCATAAAATTACAAAATTTGGGATCTGGTAGTGATCTTGGAAAATTATCACATCTTTGCATAGTTAAGAAGGTACCCACTTCTCCATAGAGCTCACCCAGAGTATTGAGATAGTGGGGTTGACCCTCTGGGGGCCCTCCTAATGCTTCAGTGAATAACTGCTGGGTGGTGACCAGGGGAAGGTTACTTGTCAAATTATACTACAAGAGGATGGAAGGATATCTTTTGAATCAATGGACTATCCTATGCTTCGTATGCCTGAAGAAGGTCAGCATAGCTTTCTGAGCTTCAGTTGCTCATCTGACCCATGGACAAATTGAGCAAAATTTAATTTCTAGCTATTCTATAAGCATCACCAAGGTGAAGATGGAATCACACCTGTCTGTTTCTTAACATGCCATGTTCCTTTTCCTATCTTCCTTTTGTGATAGCAACCTAGGGGACCAACTCACCCTGGTTTACCTGGGATTTTCCCAATTTTAGCACGGAAACTCTCACATCCCAAGAAAACTGGGACAGTTGATCACCCTACATCAACCTATCCTTGATGTTCATTGTAACCTAACACATTGCTTCTATAAAGCTGCTGTGAATAGGCTGGCAGGACAGGCACTGTGATGTGTCCTGGATTCTGTATCCTAATATGAGAGCCTTTTAAAATTTCCCAGACCAAGTGAAAATGTTTTAGTTTAAAGCCCTAACAGGAAACAATTCTATAGCTTTTCTTGGGATACCATCCCATTGTTTAGCAATTGTTGTTTTGTTAGTTGCCGTAAAGTCACTTCCAGTTCATGCTACAAGTGTGCAGAGTAGCTCCGCTCGCATAGGGTTTTCAAGGCTGTGACCTTTCAGAAGCAGATTGCCATGCCTGTCTTCTGAGGTGCCTCTGGGTGGGTTTGAGACACCAACCTTTTTGTTAGTAGTCTCGTGCTTAACCGTTTGCACCACCCAGGGAGCCCTAACAATCATTAAGCATTATTTTTTCTCATTCTTCTAAAATCCTTAACCTGTAGTGTAAGCTTATTTATTCCTTTTCATGGAAGTATGAACACCAAATGTTCCCAGACCTCATTAATATATAAAGACGATTGAGATCACTTTAATACCCAAAACCTTGCTAGCTTGCTGCTCCCTCCTGCTTCACAAGTCTGATTATTGCCATTATTTTCTCTATTCTGGCTGCCGTCCTTGGGGTCTGCTGCCCATCAGGTAGGTATTTGGGGGAGCTTGGTTATCACTGCTGTACTGGCAGAGGACCCCCTGAGCAAAACACTGTGCCCTTCGTTGTAGGGTTTCCTGATGGTTCTCTGACGGTGGCCACCCCGAGGCCCCAGGATGCCAAATTTGCCTGGTGGGTTATGGCAGCAGGGCGTGAAGGACCCTCTTCCAAACTTGGTGTTGAACATTCCCTCCCGCGCCTTGGTGCAGCTTTGCCTGCGGCAGCACTGATTGCCTGCTGGTCTCACAAGGCTCCTTATCAAAATGATGTTTAAACTTCTGACTAGATTTCCTCTCTGTAGAGGGTGATGCTTAGTTCTGCAATTGAAAGATAGTTCTGTCCTGCGTTTCCTTGTCTCTCTCATCTCGGTTTCAAAATTTTGTTTCCCCACATCCAAAGCTCTCAAGAGTATCAGTTAGATACCAGAAAGGGTTACTAGGATACCAGTTCTGGAAGCAACCAGCCTCTGAATTCCAGCTTTGACTCAGCTGGGACATCCCATTACACATAGAAGAAGGAGTCATATGAATAATTTAATACACTACTTAAAGCTGAGAAATGTGTAGACCAATTCTAAAGGGGCTAAAATGATCACAGATCCCCTAAAAGCCATTCTCAGACTCTAGTTTTTAAACATTTTTATTAAAAAATAAAAGTTGTCACTTTGGATACCACTTACCAATAAGACAATGAAAACAAACATAACTGATGTCCTGAAATTGTGAGCAGATGAATGGACACGGGAAATCAGATTTAAATTTAATTTAACACCTGAAGCTTGATTCAGTTATTGGAGAACATTAAAGTATATTTGGAACAACTTAGGTATGTGAATTTACTTTTTCAAGTATTCAAACTGAGATGTCCTGTAAGTGAAAAATACACACCAGATTTTGAAGCCTTAGTATGAAAAAGCAATGTAAAATATCTCATCAATATTTTTATACTGATTGGTTAAGGGCTACCGTGCTAACCAAGAGGTCAGCAGTTCAAATCCACCAGCTGCTCCTTGAAAACCCTATGGGATAGTTCTACTCTGTTCTGTAGGGTCACTATGAGTCAGAATCGACTTGATGACAATGGGTTTGGTTTTTTTTTTTCCTTTAACTTTTTTTTTTTTATTGTTGTAGTTTAAATGAGGTTTACATTTCAAGTTAGTCTCTCATACAAAAATTTATACATACATTGTTACGTGATCCTAATTACTCTCCCTATACTGTGACAGCACACTCCTCCTTTCCACCCCTTATTTCCCATGTCCATTCAACCAGCTCCTAACCGTCTCTGCCTTCTCATCTCACCTCCGGACAGAAGCTGCCCATTTAGTCTCTTGTATCTACTTGAGCTAAGAGGCACACTCTTCACGAGTATCATTTTATGTCACACAGTCCAGTCCAATACTTGTCTGAAGAGTTGGCCTCGGAAATTGTTTTAGGTCTGGGCTGATAGAGAGTCCAGGGACAATGCTTTCCGGGATTCCTCCAGTCTCAGTCAGACCATTAAGTCTGGTCTTCTTACTAGAATTTGAGTTCTGCCCCCAGCTTTCTCCTGCTCCATCAAAGACTCTCTGTTGTGTTCCCTGTCAGGGTGGTCATTGGTCTCTGGTTTATGTGACCCTTTCTGTCTCTTGGGCTAATACTTTCTCTTTTGACTTTCTTATGTAACTATTAGAAAATCAGAAATTATTTATGTGGTTCTTATTATATTTCTGTTGGGTAGTACTACTTGAGATGATACACAGTATGTTTGTATTAATTATTTAGATTACCTTCAAAATGAAAATACAAAGTCTCCAACCTCTAAAATTACATTCTGGACCCTATTTAGAGAAATACTGATCTAGATTAACTCTCTCTTTCCATAGATGAGCAAACTGAGGCCTAGAGAGTTTAGACACTTCTTAAATATCTCTTATCTGACAAGGTCCCCGGTACATTCTCTTTCCATTGAACTGAATTGCCTTTGTATAGAAAGAGAATTTAAAGTTTCCTTAATTTCTTCGGTTATGTTGTTTTTCATATTTCTTTTGTCCTTTTTTTCATTTCCAGATTGTTGGTCAAAAATATGATTATTATGTAATTGCATTTTAGCATACTTTTAATTCATTTTAAAACATTTTCATATCTAATTATTTACTCTATACTCTATCCCTTTAAATGATGGTTAGAGCTACTAGTGATGGTATCGGCCTGAAAACACTTTAGTATTGCAAGCCCTTTAATCTACTGGGTTAAAATATGTGTCAATTTTGGGCATGATGAAAAGTCAAGGAGAAAAAATGACAGTCCTAGATCCATTTTTGAGCCCTGGTGGCACAGTGCTTAAGAGCTGTGGCTGCTAACAAAAAAGTCGGCAGTTCGAATCCACCAGCTGCTCCTTGGAAACCCTGTGGGGCAGTTATGCTCTGTCCTGTAGGGTCACTATGAGTCGGGATTGACTCAACGGCAACAGGTTTGGTATCCATTTTACAATGGCCAAAACTTGGTTCTTTCAAAGGGGCTTCAACCCAAGTTTATATATATTTTGTTAACCTAATATGCTTCATGTCCGCCTTACTCTAAACCAACTCCTCCAGCTGGATCCAAATTCAGTCATCAGCTGTAATAACATTTGAGATACCAAACAAAAACATTTTCTTCTCCTAGTATTTGTTTCTCCCCTGCAATATATGTTAGCTGCCACCAGGTGGTAGTAGGGAGTAAACACAGGGACCTGACCCCTAGGGATGCTCTGGATTGAGGGATAGCAGCAACGCGGCTACTCAAGTCTCCTGGTATGTAAGCAGGAGATTTCTATTCTACAAAATTATAATGTTTACAAAAACTCCGTCTAGATAGAATAAAGCAATGAAAACATAAATACCAGACAAAAATGAATAGAAGGAAAAACCACACATATATAGGTTTTCTCCTCGCCAAATCAGCTGACTATTTCTATGACTCCATTCATTATACGTCAGTAGGACTTTCCTAAGGAGTCCCTGGGTGGCACAAACGATTATGTGCTTGACTACTAGTTGGAAAGTTGGTGGTTTGAATCCATCCAGAGGCACTTGGAAGACAGGCCTGGTGATCTGCTTCTGAAAGGCCATAGCCTTGAAAACTCTCTGGAGCAGCTCTACTCTGCACACATGGTATCTCCATAAGCCAGAATCACACAAGGACAACTAACAAGAACAACAACAGGCCTTTCCTAAACTTAAGACCTTCTACCAGAAACACTATCAGGATCCACGTGGATTTCCTAGATGCGTCTGAGCCACGAGCTACTTGACTTCTAGGAATTCCCACAACCTACAGGACACTCGAATCGATAATCATTGCTCAAACTGCATTTGCTTTAAATGTCTGTAGGCTTGATTTTTTTTTTCTATAAAGGCATTCGTTAGCATCTCCTTCCGTTTAGCTTGTACTTTTTACTATATAATGGGAAAGTTTGAGAATTTTCAAAATGTAAAATGATGGGAGATAAACAAGGACATTTTTATTTATTCACTTATCTATTTATGGGTGGATGGATGTATCTGTGCTTTTACTTTCTAGGAGATTGGGGGAAGAGTGTGATGATGGAGGCCTTTTGAGTGGAGATGGCTGCTCGAGGACATGTAAACTGGAGGAAGGCTTCAACTGTGTAGGTGAGTTTAGGAGAACCTGCCTTGAGTATGTCATTATTTTTGTTCACAGTACCAGGGCCCCATTTTCAATAGCCACAGTCCTTTTGTGTCCTAAAGTAACTTCAAGAATACAGAGACTGTTCTTACATAATCTCATGCAATCAGAGATCCAAGCTTTGGACAGCACTAATTATTCAAAATTAGGTATTATGATGGAGGAATCAGTCTAACAATTGAGCTTGGAGGTCTCTCAGTGCCTTTGTGAGTTCTTGATATCCTGTAACATACAGTTTTGTGATAATAATAACATTTGGTATGTTTGTTATGTACCAGACACTATTAATTGTTTTCCATATATTATCTTTTTTCATCCTTACAGTAACTATGAAGAAACAAAACGGAAGCTCAGAGAGCTTAAATAACTTGTTTTTGATCATACAGCTAAAAGTGGTGAAACCAGGATTTGAACCAAGGAAGTACAGCTCTAGAATCTGCATACTAAGCCATTAGGTTTTACTGCCTCCTAGCTCAATGTTACCAAGGTTTTCTCTTGGGTCCTCATGTCTAACATCAAACTGTCAGTTAAACAGCATAATCATTCAGATTTTACACACAATCAAGTATTCTAAGCCATAGGTAGTACAAGATGTCTCTTGGCAGCTGTGTTTAATAGATTAGATAGTGAAGGATGACAGAGGGTCAGCTATTTCTTAATCCTGGAGAATCACTGAACAATAAATTATAACTAGGAGGCTTTGACTCTAGACCCTTGCCACTCAGGGAGGTGGTCCAGAAGGCTTCTCCCAATTCTGGTTTAAGCCAGAATCAATAGGTTTCTTAGGTAAGATTATTTTACTTTCCCATTTGCATATGTTGCAATGATTCTGTGGAACATAACCACTTATTAAAGTTATTTTAAATAGCAGTGCATTTAAAATATTTTAACGTCTCCAAATCTCAAGATAAAGTAGAATTTATTAAGGTGTTAAGCACCATACAGAACACAAAAAACCCCTGCTCTCTGTAGCATACATTCTAAGAATCATAGAATCTTAGTGATCTTCCATCCATCCATCCATCCAACAAGTACTTATTCACTGCCCACTGTGTGCCACCAGTCTGATCAAGACCCTCTTCTCTGCATGCATACGTATAGTCTACAAATGACATAGAGTCCAGTTTCCCTCCTTTGCAGAAATCTCTTCTACTAATTCCTGAGAGGTGGGTCTCTAGCTTCTGCTTACATACTTCCAGCAGTGAAGAATGCACCTTGAAACAGACCCTTCTATTTAAATGTGGCTTTACCTGTTATAAAATTATTCTCCCTTTTTCCGGTTTGGAAACTGAGGCCCAGAGAATTTAGAGACTCATCCAAGGGCGTACAACAAGGTGTCTGCAGAGCAAGCACTGGCACTCCCCGTTTCTACTGCTTTATCAAGTGCTTTTTCCTTGGATGAAACTACAGGGAATACACTCTTCTTTTTCTGTTTTATTTGACTACCATTCAGATATTTGAAATGCCTCTCCATTACTCTCCTTTCCAATCCAAACATCCCCTTATGTGATTAGGTTTCCAGACCCTTCCCTATTTACCCCAACTGGGCATGCTTCATGTGGTCAATGCCCAGAAAGGAATTCAATCTTTCAGATGTGGTCGGGCTGTGCAGAATACACTGAACCAATTACTTCCCGTCTCTGTACATATGTGTTTGTAAATGACACCTATGTTTGCATCATTTCTTTTGGTAGCCACATAGTTGGCTCATATTGAATATCTGTATCTCTCTATATATGTGTGTATACATGTATATGTCCAAACACTGCTTTCTCCAGCGCATCTCCCTTTTCATTTAAATTAAGAGCTGACCTTGTTTTATTTCTATCACATTTGATCCCATTAAGTCTGGCCTATCTTTACTTAGTTTCCATCTCCTGTAAGAGTATATCTAAACGATTGTAACTTTACAGAAGTTTAGGGTGATATATTCAACAGCTAGACATTTGTTTCAGGGAGTAATAAGTGTGGAGTATGCTAAGCACATAGTTCTACTCCATTATTTCTCAAAAGATATGGTTTGACTGAACCATTATGAAATGTGTTTATTTTTAGATGGATTTGAAAAAACAGAGGCAAACATTTTAAGGCCATGATTAAAAAAAAAAAAAAAGAATAAACAGTGACTGGGTTATAAATAGAATAGAAAACTATGTGGAGTCCCTGGGTGGCTCAAACAGTTAAGCACTGGACTATTAGCCAAAAGGTTGGCAGTTTGAACCTACTCAAGGACACCTTAGAAGACAGGCCTGGCGATCTGCTACTGAAAGGTCACAACCTTAAAAATCCTATGGAGCAGTTCTACTCTGCAGACATGGGGTTGCCATGAATTGGAATTCACTTGACCGTAACCATCAACAAAGTATGTGTGTGTGTATACAAAATATATATGGAAAGAGATAGGAATCATCACGGGACAGTCATGTCAAATACACCAAATACACACATATTAGCTTTAGGGGAGTGGCTTGGGTAAGCCATGGGTTTGATGGAATGCAGGGGTTGAAAACCCAAAACAGGTTTAGAACCAAGTCCTAGGATCAGTCGCTTATTCCTGGCAAGTAAAGATAGATTTACCATAGAAGGGTCTTAGACTTGAGGAGAATATTAAGGAAAATAATTAATAGCTATAAGTTGATGAGCAGCTGACAAATTGCTAGAACACCCCTGTGGTATTGCTGTGAAGAATTAAAAAAAAAAAAAGTAAATTTTAGTGATGGTGTTACTGAATGTGTACTATGTATTATTTGCTTTGAACCTTGATCTTATTTTTATGCTGTATTATTTTGCAGGAATGCAAAATTAGAATTAAGCTGTTAATATTAATGTCCCATATTTTAGTAGAGAACACAGTCGAACTGAATAATGGTTTATAAGTGCTTTTCAGCTTTCTCTTCTTGAAGAAAGTGAGTCTACACATCTATAAAGAGTTAGTACCACTCACTTAGTAGGGATTATCCTACGACCACGTATGGAACTTGTCCAGCACGTACAACAGTTTTTCCTAAGTATTCGCATCTCACTTGTTTGCTGTCCAAGACAATCCCTCTGTCTCAGCTTGATGTAGTTGTGATGTGATAGCAAGTCCACAGAACCTGCATTCTGCGTGCCTGGTTCAAATCCAGGCTGTATTGCTTATGAGTCAAGTGACCTTGGCAAGTCACTTAAAGTCATGGAGTTTCAGATTTCCCGTCTTTGAAACCAGCAAACAAAAAATGTACACCTAGTTACCACAGGATTAAAATAAATAATACATATCTAACCCTTTTAAATCTAGAGCCCATATTGTCCAGTTTCAGAACTTTTGTACAATTCAGCAACAATAGGTAATTGGAAAAAAAAAATCCTCAAATACTTTAATACTTTAAAAAGAGAATCCAAACGTATAACATTTCATACCATTTATTAAAATCTCTTTCCTCTTTTTCCTACTTCTCTTATATCCCCAGCTTCCCCTAATATCTCTCTCGACTATCCTTAATATTTCTTTCTAAACCTAGTCCAGCACTGCTTTTTCTATGTGTTTTTTCTCCCCCCAATCCCACACACTTGCATACCATTTTTATATAGATATAGGATCCCTGGGTGACATAAATTGTTTACGCTGGGCTCCTAACCAAAAGGTTGGCCGTTTGAACCCACCCAGTGGTATCAAGGAAGAAAGGCCTGGCAATCTACTTTCATAAAGATTACAGCCAAGAAAACCCTATGGAGCTCAGTTCTACTAGGTAACACAAGAGATTGCCATGAGTTGGAATTGACAGCAATGTTTTTTTTTTTTTTTCCTTTACTTTTCTTTTCTTTTCATAATATATAGATGGACTCTACCTCTGGCCCAATAAAAAAAAGAATCCTTCCTCTTGTGGCGTTTATATGGTTTGTACGTGGGGTGTGTATGTGTGTGTTGTCTGTGTGTTTGGGGTGGGCATTAGACTGAGAGGCAATTACAGGATTCTCTACTGGGGGCTGGGAAAGAAATGCTGTGAACACTCCCATTCTAATTTTTTTTCATGACATGTATAAAAACGCTTTTTCAAGTGCCGGTTTCTTGGCAGGGGAACCAAGCCTGTGCTACATATATGAGGGAGATGGGATATGTGAGCCTTTTGAGAAGGAAACCAGCATCTTAGACTGTGGGCTGTATACTCCCAAAGGATACTTGGATCAGTGGGCTACCCAAGCTTACTCCTCTCATGAAGACAAGAAGAAATGTCCTGTTTCCTTGGTAACTGGAGAACCTCATTCCATGGTAAGTTAAGCCAGATGAATAGAGTCAAGACTGAACAAAATTGTGAAGTCACTTCCCCAGATGCTTAATGAGAGTTTATATTTTTCTCCTGATTTTACCAATTTTACCACCAAATGTAGTCTTTAATGAACTCAGAGCAAGATAATCTTAAGTAAAAAGCTTCTAGACTAGTAATTAACCCCCACCCTTACCCCCCCCCACCCCACTTATCTGTACTAGTTTTCATCTAGGAATGTTTGGGCTATGCAATGGCTAACTCCAAGGCATACTTGAGCATCTCACAATTTAACTTAGAAGTACACAGAAATTATACTTGGGCTTCATATTTAAGAGAATTTATTTTAAAAGAAGAAAGAGAAACAGTAAAGAATCAGAAAGCCTGAGTTACACTCCTGGATCCACTATTATTATTACTAAATGATGTCTGGCAAGTCACTTAACCTCTTTGGGCCCCAGTTTTCTCATATGTAAAAGAGATATAAAGACATTATTATTATTGAAGAAATCCTTGAGTTAGTACTAAAAACAAATCCGTAGGTGTACAGTTTTCCCTGCATATTTACCTATGTAGGTAAGAGATATTCTGAATACTCTAAGATGCTATACCAATGACTTTTATGAATTATATTTGAATATTCAAAAGATGAAGAGTTCTTGGCCCTTGGGTACCATTCCAGATGCTTCAATTACCAAACAAACTCTTCCATTTGTTATGATAACAGGCAGTATAGTCCTTTCACAGAAGTGAGATTTAGTTCTAAAAGTATTTTGGGCAAGGATGAAATAATTGAATTTTTAGATCTAAGGTGACATCCTCAAGGAGATTGAGGAACCAGCCATAGTTGGTGCTTCCGTTTAAGGAACTCATCAAGGACTCAGGTGTCTTCTACCTTCTGGTCCTTCCATCCTTGGCTTGCAGCTTTCTTTCTCCTGCTCATAAGGTGGCCACTAATCCTCTAGTTATGAGGTCAGCATTTCAAGCAGGAAGAAAGGGAAGGTCAATGGGAAACAGGTGAATGCTAGCTGAGTCTTTCCTTTTTTATTGAGAAAATAGCAGCTTTTCTGGAAGTCCAACATCTTATTGGCCACATCCAGGTTACTTCATCACCCTTTGCTCTAAGGGAGTCTGAGGAGATCAGCATTTTATAACTGGATACACTGCCACCTTGAACAAAACTGGGGTTTGTTAATGAGAAAGAGAAAATGGATATGGATAGGCAACTAGCTATGCCTGCCACACTGTCTCAGCCTAATTCTGGAAACTTACTCCAGGAGTCCTGGTGTCCAATGACGGGAAGCCAGGAAAGTTGGGAGCTTCTGAGTTAGTGACAGCTCTCTGAAGTGGCTTTTAGTCTAGCCTGTCTGTCTTCCCTAAGTGAAGTGGAAGAAATTTCCTGGAGTTTCACTGCCCTGGCTCCTTTATCCAGCTGAATGCTCAGTGGTTCCCTGTCTCAGTAGATCACTCCGGGGGCCAGCCGATCTTGTATGGTAAGGACCTAGCCATCATCATAGACAGACTTCCATGGCTAATCCTAGGAGCAATTGGCTGAGATGCACCAGGATATTCTTTGGACAAGTTCTGGGCTGACAGTGGGCTAAGGGTTGTCATGGGTATCTTTCTACCCTGGCAAGTTATATCTTGAGGTTAACAGAACATTTAGAAATTCTACACTGAGAAAAGTTTTCTGCCAATAATGTGATCATTAGGGAGAAAACCTTTGGTTTTGTGTTAGAGAATTTCTTTCTCATTACTTATCTCTCACCGTCTACACTTAGGTTTTGGTTGTAATTATTTCAGATTTGCACATCATACCATCCAGATTTACCTGAGCACCGTCCCCTCACTGGCTGGTTTCCCTGTGCCACCAGTGGAAATAGACCTCAGCATGAAGGGAGTGAGCAGCCAGAAGGTAGCCTGGGGAGAGAAGATGAGGTTTGGCTCAAAGTAAGTGGCCTAAATAGCTTTTTGTGAAGGCTGTAGATTGTGTGTTTGCGTGCGTGTGTGCGTGCACGTGTGTGTGTGTGCATGTGTATGTGTGTGTGTGTGTGTGAAAAGATGCATTTGAATGGGCAGTTAGGAAATTTCTTCGTTATCTCAAAGTTTTTAGATGTTGAATTTATTCTTTTGAATTTTGGGGCTTCTTTCTTTATGAGTAAATCCTTTTATCAGAGTCTAATACACACACACAAAAGTGCACAAATTGGAAATGTACAGCTCAGTGAATTTTTATAGTCAGCACTCTTTCTAACCACCACCCAGATCCAGAAATAGAGTATTAGCGTCACTCCAAAAGGCTCTCTCTTGCTCTTTCCCAGTCATTACCCCACCAAGGTATCTACTGTTTTTACTTATCTCACCATAGATTAGTTTTGCCTAGTTTTTAACTTTATATGAAAAAATATATATAGTACAGACACTGTGATTCTTTTTTGCTCAACATTATGTATGTGGAATTCATGCATGTTGCTTCATTTAGCAGTAGTGTGATTATTTTCCTTGCTATGTAGCATTCCAGTGTATGAATATCCCACAATGTAATTTGTCCATTCTGAAACTGATGAACATTTGGGTTGTTTTCAGTTGTTCTCTAGTGCAGATAGTTCTGCTATGAGTATTTCTGTACATTCCTCTTGGTGAATGTATTTAAAAAGCTGGGTGCATTTGTGTGTGTATTTATATATATATCTATATAATATATATAAAACCAAAGGCGTTGCCGTCGATATGTTATTTAATATATTCCAACACTCTATGGCTTACCTTTTCTTTGTCTTAATAGTATTTCTAGACGAACAGAAGAAGTTCTACATTTTAATGAAGTCTAATTTATTTATCTTTTCCTTTATGATTAGTGCTTTTTAGAACTGTATTAAAAATACTTGCATATCACAAAGATATACTTCTGTATGTTACCTTCTAGAAATGTTACTGTTTTACTTTTCATATTTAGGTCTACAATCCATCTGGAATTTTTGCATATTGTGTGAGGTAGGGATCAAGATTTTTTTTCCCCAGACTAAAAATTTCTTTTCCCCACTAGACTGCACTGTGTTATCTTTGTTAAAAGTCAACTAACAATATATGTGTGGAGTTCTGTTTATTGATTCTCTATTTTAATCTATTGGTTTGTTTATCCCTGCACCAATAGCATACTGTATTGATTACTGAATATTTTTAATGAGTTTAAACATTTGATAATGTAAGTCATACAACTTTATTTTATTCTAGATTATCTTGGCTATTCTTGATCTTTCCAATTTCCATATAAATTTTAGAATCAACTTATCAATTTACACATACACGCACTAATGCAATATTGACTGGGATTTTATTGAATCTATAAGTCAATTAGGAGAGAGTTTTCTCTTTAAAATATTGAGTCTTCTAATATCCCTCCAGGTACTCAGTCCTTCTTTAATTTCTTTTATCATTTTATAGTTTTCTGAGAAAAGGGAGTTGAATTTTATCAAATACTTTATTCTGCATCTATTGAGATGATCACATGGTTTTGCCCTTGTTCTATTAATGTGTTACTTACACTGGTAAACTTTTAAATATTATATACTTGGATAAAAAATGGGGTAGTGCATTTTTCTTTGTAAATAGTTTTCGATTCTGTTTCAGAATATTTTGTTGTGTTTTGAAAAAAAATATGTTTATTAGAACTTGACTTCTAATTTTCCTTCATTTTAATGTTTTTTTCAGGTTTTACGATCAGAGTTATGTTTGATTCCTAAAACAAGTTTCTTTATTTCCCAATTTTCTGGGAAATTTTCTGTGAGATTGGTGTTAATTTTGGAGGTAGTCACCAATGAAGCTATCTAAGCCTCAAATTTTCTTTGAGGAAAAATTTTAGATTTTAGGTGGAATTTTTAAAATAAATTTGGAAAAATTTACAGTCTTAATTTTTTCTTAGGTCAGTTTTGATGAGTTGTTTTTTTTTTTGAGAAATTCATGCAGTTCTTCTAAAATTTCAAATTTATTGGCATTAAGCTTTTGTTTAGTTGTAAGGTAATCTCTGGGAGTAGTTTCAGTTTGAAGTTTAAGGGATATTTCAAGGTGATAGTCTCAGGGGTTCCCCAGGTGTCTTCCAGTCCAGTAAGTCTGGCCTTTTTTTAAGGTTTTGAGTTTTGTTCTACAACTTCTCCCACTCTATCCAGGACCATCTATTATGGCCCCAGTCAGAGCTGTCGGTAGTGGTAGCCAGACATCATCTGGTTCTTCTGATCTCTGGACAGGTGAGGCCATAGTTCATATTGTCAGTTGGTCCTGTAGACTGGTTTCTTCTTTGAGTCTTTGGTTTCCTTCTTTCTCTTTTGTTCCAGATTAGTAGAAACCAATAGTTGTACCTTAGATGGCCACTGGCAAGCTTGGCATTAAGTTTTTGATAATATTTTCTTATTTTATTTGTAATGTTTCCAAGATCTTCAGGACCTTTAATCACTCATGCTATTGTTAATTTGTAGCGTCTCTTGTTGTTTTTTTGTTCAGTCTTGTTAAGGATTTATTAATTAATTTATTACTCTTTTAAAACAACCAATTTCTGGCTCTGTTTATTTTCTCTGTTGTACAGTCTTTGCATATACATATATATTTCATATACATATATTTATATATATTTCATATATATATTTCTCATATATATATTTCTTCTCTTATTTTCATTATTTCCTTCCTTTTTATATTTACATTTAATTTAATTTTCTTCTTCTAGTAACTTGAGATGATGCTTAGACAATTGATTTTTAGCTTTTCATCTTTTTATATATATGCATTTATGGCTATAAGTTTTCTTTTTAGTGTGACTTTAGCTATAAGCCACAAGTTTTCATATGACTTATTTGTTATCACTCAGTTCAAGCATATTTTCTAATTTTCATTGTGATATCTTTTTTGACCACTGAGTATTTATAAGTGTGCTGCCTAACTTCCAAACATTTGGAAATTTTCTAGTTATCTTTTTGCTTTTGATTTATAGCTAATTCTTCTGTGGTCAAATAACGTATTCTGTATAATTTTAATTCTTTGAAATTTGGTGAGCCTCACATGATGGGTCGGCATATGGCCAATTTTGGTAAATATTCCACGCACTTTGAGAGAAATGTGTACTTTTCCATCATTCAGTACAGTATTCTGTATATTTAAGATAGGTCAGGTTTTTCCATCTTCTTGCTGAAATTCTCTGTGTCATATATGTCTTAGCTGACTTCTCTAGAGAAGCAAAACCAGTAAAGTGTATAAATAAATATAAAGGGAGATTTGTATCAAGGAAATGGCTCACCAGTCATAGAGGATGGAAAGTCTCAAGTCCCTGGGTCAGGCTGGAGGCTTCTCTTGATTCATGTAGCTGCAGGGGCTGGTGAACCCAAGATCAGCAGGTCAGACAGAAGGGCTCTTGCTCACAGGCTGCAGAGACCAATGAATCCCGAGATTGGCAGGCAAGACGGCAGGTAAACTGCCAGCTGAAGTCCCAAGAATTGGAGGTCAGTCAAACAGGAGCCAGCTGCAGGATCCAGAGTAAGCAAAAACCAGTGAGCCTTGCCAGAAAGTTCACCTGTATTGGATGCAGGCCACACCTCCAAGGAAACTCCCTTTCAACTGATTGCCTACTCACAGCCGATCCCATCATGGAGGTGATGACATTATATCAAATCTCATCATGGAAGTGATCACATCATTATACGACTGCCAAACTACATCATAACTGCCAAACCACTGAGAATCATGGCCCAGCCAAGTTGACACACAACCTTAATGATCACAATATATATTTTGTATATATTTTTTTCCGATATTTCATTTACTGTTTCCATCAGTTAAGAGATATGCATTAATATCTCCCATCATAATCTTGGAATTGTGTGTTTCTCATATAGTTGTTATACATGGTTTTATACATTGCAAAACTGTATTTTTTATTAGGTATGCAGGCAGTCCTTGCTTGCAAGATAGTAGAGGACTGTAAAAATGATGGTGCAAACTAAACTGTACAAAGAAATCTTAAGAATCAACGGAAGAATTACAATTTTTCTGTGGCCTTTAAAACTTTTTGTCACAATGTTAAAAACTTTCTTAGTTATGCATGTGTATGGAAATGAAAAAAATAGTGAAATTAATTTAGCTCACTGTAATTTAAAGCAGTAGAAACAATGAGAATTAAAACGTTTCATTTCTTTGTAAAAACCTTATCAAGAGTAGTTTGAACAGTGCCTGCCTTCTTTTACTCATCATGACTGACATTACAAAGCAAACATTTTTTCTATACCTTGGTGAACGGTCATACTCCTGTCTAAGTTTGGATCAGCTTCCGAAATTTTATCCTTTGCACTTTCAATGTCAGAAGATACAACTGAGGGTTCCATTAATGTGAATTTTTTGTTGGTATCACTTCCTCTGGGACTCTGCATATCTAGAGTCTCTCCCATGGTTTCAATGCCACCATTCCCACAGTCAGCTATTTCTTCTGTAACTCCATTTCCATTTGATTTGCATTTCATTCCAGCATTATCACTTTTCATTGCTCTGTTCCACTTTCCCCTTTGTTGATTAATTCCTTGTTTTGACTACCTATTTTTATAAAATGTCATGTGGATTTATCACAGGAAATCAGGAGGCTACATGACCACACACTTTCCTGTCTGTGTGTGAACTGAATAACCAATACACAGTGACAGATAAATGACAGACTTTGAAAGAAGTGATTTGATTGGTCACTGACTATGATGCACATCTATTATTTTCATAGTGACTTATAGACAGAAGAGCTGTTTGTGAAGTTTGTGCTTTATGCAGTTACTCACAATCAATATACTGTGCTAACTGAAATTTGAAACATATTGTGGGGACAGGTGTTATTTAACTAAATTGTGATAACTGAAATTTGTACATATTGTGACTTTCCAAAGTTAAAACTGCCAGTATATAATTTTAGAATTTCTATATTG